CCCCAAAACCCCAAAACCCCAAAACCCCAAAACCCCATTTGTTTTCCTAATATGGAACCTCACATTTGCTTGTAAAAGCAATTTATTTTAGCTACTAAGTGCTTTCAGTGTAGATTCCCTTGATCTTTCTGTCAACCTCAACAGTTTTACTCTCTTCGTTGTAGAACACATTGAATGCTCTAGGGATTGAGTCACAGTATTGTCTGATGGTCTCTCTCGCATCAGCCCATGAATCAGAGACGAAGTAGTATGGCTGAACAGTACTAATTGGGTAATCTCTGTGATTTTCAGCAACATCTTCTGCATCAAGATTTAAGAATTTTGGTCCATCTGAGAAACACCAGTCAAGTTCTCCAAAGCTAGAGAGGATACCTGCTCCATATGCCTTTCTTTGTCCAGCTTCCATGCAAAGACCAAATTCAATAGTGAACCAATAAAGGGCTCCAAGTCTTGGAAGATATTTATCTGGACATCCAAGAGATGCAAGTCCGATCATATGTGAGAGTTCAGCATAGTCCTCATTAGCAAGCATTGGTCCATGCCCAATTACTTCATGAAGCAAGTCAGGCTCAGGAGTATATTCAGGCACTGAATGATGTCTGATATACTGAGTTGAGTGAAATACTTTAAATGCCAAAGCATTGAAGAACTCCCTCTGACTGAGCAAGCCAGCCACAGGTCTGATTCTCCATCCTGTAGTATTTTGCAAGTATTGAGAGATATCCTCAAGCTGTGGAACATTGTCTTCAGCAAATCCACAGTGTTCTTCAAATTGCTTTATCGTATCGTTATATTCCTTAACAGCATTTTTCTGGAAGTGCTTCTTTAATTTTGGGTAGCAATGTTGCCAAACTCCTAGCTCATCATCTGTATACTCAATTCTAGGAATTTCTTCATCACGTAAGCTATACTTATAAGCAATATCTGAGATGTATTTCCTTCTTGACTTATAAACCTCGTCTCTAAAGCCAGGATGGTCTGCTTCCTGAATCCCAGTTCCTTCTCCAAGAATCTCTTTGCCAGTGCTGTCAAGGTCATACAAATTAGTAGGGAACCATGGGACTTGAGGGGTACCACAGAGAGTTAAGTGCTTGGACATTTTTGATAAGTCACTAATAATATTCCTAACAGATTCATCTTCATAACATCCCTCAAAGTCAAGATAAAAGTCATAAGCCTTGGTCTTCTTGTAGAACTTAGATGGCTTTGACTGGATATGGGTCAGACAAACACCATATTTGTCAAAGACTCCCAAGGCTTTGTTAAGAATACCTTGGGAATCCTTCAATGTTACGATTAGAGAAGTTTTATCGGTAGTTTCGAAATATCTATGTACAAGATTTTAGAGGTTTCATCAAACTTTACAAATAATATCCAAAAATTCAGGTAAAGATTAGAACTTACTTCTTGCTGTTCAAAGCTACACTAGGAGTAGTATGAGCTTGCGTTGATTGGGACATTTCTGAGACCATGCAGAATGGCCTCTTTCCTGCCTTTATAGCTGGTGACATACGGTTGATAACAGTCCTGGATAACATTATCCTTTTAGATTATTTATACGCTATTTTTCAAAAATCTTATCAAAAAAGGGGTTTTGGGGTTTTGGGGTTTTGGGG